CAAGAATTGCATGTTGATTGTTTGGTGAAGAAGGAGAAAGCATCGATGGATTTCCGTTGGTCGGTTTTTCTACCTTGCGGGGTATCTGAAATCCGAGATTGTTGCATGTAGGGACAGAATTACCTAACGGAGGGGACTGTTGCTGGACACAGACATAGTCTCTCAGGTCTATGCATCTTGGGATTACCCCCTAGGATGTCGGCAAACAAGATTGGAAGGTACGTGGGTAGGTGGTACCAATGCGTGTGCAATAATATCTCTCGTTGGATATTCCTGTGGGATGAAACGAGAGGGTGAGGGAGGTCATGCATCAGTTTAGAGAATGTGACATTGGGTTTGGTGTTTGTGAGATTCATGTGAAAGCTGAGTAGCCTAGATGGATATATTCTGAGGGTTATGATGCTTGAGTGCTGTAAGGAGGAACACGTCATATCGATACACTCAAAGTTCAACTTCATAACTAATCTCTCAAAGGCCCGCTTCCAATAGTCCCCACTCTCTGGATCTTGAATCAAGTCAAAAGACGCCACTGAAGAGGGAGATATTTTCCAAGGGTCCAAAATCATCTGAAAATGATACACTTTTTCATTCTCTTCATACTACTGTGTTGCGAATGCATATTGGTCGGTATCCACATGAGGCATGTGGTACGGCGAGGCAAAGTATGTTAGGGTTTTTAACATGTATGTTATGGATATAGTTTATCGTTACTATTTTCGAAGTGATGTGAGTAACCGTACCCCACTCGCCTTAGTTGAAGAAGAGTGATACCGACCCTGTCTGCGTTCATCTCCGTCGGCTCACGCTTTCCATGCGTTTGGAAAAAGGTTTACTCCCTTGATATTATTTTGAGTTTGATTAAATTTTACTTTTTGTACGACTTTGCTCGAATTCTGTGGGCTACAACTTCCGGGCAAGGAAAATAATTCCCAAATACTGCATGAACGCTCAAGGACATGAAATCAATATTCCAATGCTTAAGCAGATCGGTACCAGAGAGGTAAGAAATAGCGAAAAATCGGGTAACCACAGAATAAACTTAGGCTCAGGACCACGACTTCTCAGTTCGTGGTAGGTCACCTCAGCGTGCAGCATGGCTTTACCAAGTGGCTGCCCATTGCCATCCTCCTGTAGTAGGCACCTTTCGCCAAAAGTTTCCTGGGGCAGTTCCACCCACTGATCATTAATTATTACCATTATGCGGCGAAGGGCATTTACTTTCAGCTCGATGGGATCTTTGGATTACCATCACGATCCGCTCTGATCGGCACGACCAAAGCTATGGCGCCGAGCTTTCAAAGTCAGTGAACTCAATCCCACAATTCGCCGCTTCTGTCTCAGAGAGGCCTTTTTTTTTACAAGATAGCTCGCCGTGCTTATTGAGTGCATTTCATCACCATCGTCACGATCAGCATCACCTCGGAAAAGAGTCGATTAGTCAATGCCCATTTCTGGGTTTGATTCGCCCTCTTTCTTATTCAACGGCCGTTAGCTTGATCTCAACGTCATGTCTAATCGTCACATATCACAGCCATTTAGTATGCCTCACGGGGCTTGCGTCCGGCGGTTTTCTTTGTTTAAAGGCCCTTTTAGACGGTGTGTAACAACACGTGCGGAAGCAGCGCGTAAAACCGTCCCAGAATTGATGTCAGCCTAGCTCTGCCCAGCTCAAAAGACAGAGAAGCTTCCTGCTCTGCGAGCTCTGACATTTGACGTTGCTGTGCCACCGGGGGCTCTGGCCATTGGCGTGCGGCAAGTGCCCGTTGTGCTGCGCTGACGGAGGTGTGACCTTTTTCAAAGCTTCCGCGGCTTCTTCAGGCCAGGATCGGCACTTGTGTTCAGTCTCGATTCGTGCGCCGTTGCACCCTCTGCAAGCCATCCCGGACGGTGCAACGGCCACTAGGTAAGTGGGCCACGGCCGCCAAGGGGAGCCTCGGAACACTACCCCACACTTCTAGGCCGCTGAGGGGCGTAAGCTTGTCTGCTTTTGCCCTGCCTGCCAATTGGCATTTTTATATCGCCAACGGTGCTGCCGCGACGCCTAGACGGGCGGTCTCAGTTGGGCCTGCAGATAGACCTCGTCCCTTAAGCAACGGCCTACCTATGCACCCTCTGAGGACCACATTCAAGTGTAGATTAAAAAGCTCATTGCAAGTAGAATTGCTTTTGATTTTCTTGGCCATCATGATCTATTGTTGACTCTTCCGTCTAAAGAACCTTTTGAATCGTGGCGGATAAGGCTCGTGCTACCAGATTGGAAGCACCATGGTCAGTTATGCTTTTTGGCACTTTGTAAGAGTATCCATCCGGCTTTCGAGGCCGTTTTGGGATATCCAGACCGATCAAGGCACCTCCTATGAAAGCGGATTCCGGGACTTGCGATAAATCCCACACTCTTTGATAACAAGTCTGGAGGCATAACTCCATCTTGTGAGGTCAATCTAAGCCTTGCATTGTGGGACAGGTAAGGCGCGAGGCTATCCACGTCTTGTGATGCCTTGTTCTGCAACGAAGAGCGCCTGACGGAGCATGGTCTCCCAATTGTTGAGTTACCATTCCTAGATGCCGTGTAGCACAATTCCAACAGCTTGAACGCAGGTTGCAACCAATTACTTCAGATGCTCACACCGTATCTTAGGGCCCACGTTCCACTTTAGCTATGGCACATAGACGCTCCAAAGTCCGATTTGGGGGCCTGCGTGACGATGGGATAGCTTTCCAGACCAAGCAGCCTACACGCGTGCCATTGCCGTAGGAATCGATGGAGGAGTATCCTCAGAGGCCTGTACGGATGTTGGGAGGAGTTGGAGGAGGTTGAGCTTATTGCTCTGTTTGTGAGACAGGAACGGTAGCCTGGAGCAGCTTTCCCATGGCCAATGCAAGACGATTCCCACGGGCTTGAGCCTTGCACGCATCAGTTTCCTGTGTTCCTGTTTGAACAGCTCAAATATATCCAAAAGGAGGGATGAATTGATATAAAAGACCCCAATCCCTCCACCGACGGACTACTTTCTTCACCATCCCCAAGGCAGTCCAGAATCCTCTCACAGCAGCAACCAGCAGGTAATCAGACATTTCACAATATCTCCAAAGATCCATCTGACTCTTTTCTCATTCATACAGTCTCAAGCACGAGCCCGGAATCAACTACCTTTACCACCCAACCTCCAACCTCCAAAGGTAAGCAGCGACGACGAAGAAGTCTCTACTTTGAAATTCAAACTAACATCATCACCAAAAACCAAACAGTCAAAATGAAGTTCTCTGCTACTCTCGTCATCCTCGCCGCCACTGCTTTTACCGCTGCAGCCGGTAACCCAGCAGCCGTCAAGGCCCGCGAGGAGACCAACGCATTCATCGCCGCCCCCGGCCTCGTAAAGGAGGGCGGCACTGCCCAAGTCACCGCCGTTGGCGAGGCCCCGGCCGACTCCGTCGGCATCCAGAGACTATGGTGCCCATACGGCTTCTGGTGCCCAGACGGTTACCCATATTGCAACAGCTGCGGTTGGTGCTGTATGTCCTACTGGTACTGCTCGTGCTAGATACCAAGTCTCGAGGCATTGGGTCTCGGGGCTCAGTTACGGTAAACTTGGAGGTTTGATCATGATTGAGTGGTGGATCAAGAGGTGGTATAAGTGGGTATCCCGCAGGGATGAGGACGCCAAAGTCTGAGGTTCCTTGACTCGCATTTTTCATTTTTTAGTACCCACTTGTATTCAACTTTTCTATGGAATATGGACGGACGGGGTGGGAATCTGGGATTACCTTTAGGGTTTGGGGGTATGGGTACTCGGACAAGTTTATTTATTTCCTTTTCTTGAGGAATTGATGGGAGGACAAAGCCGGCCGGAGGGATATGATATCGCGATGGACTTTCAGGATTATTTTCTTTATTTTCCTTTTTACTGATAGCATGCTCCTCCACGATCAATCAAACGTTTGACCCATATATTAAGCTCAGAGCTGGGTGGCGATGGGCACAAGTAAGGCGGAATGCCAACTAGCAAAGTCCTCTGGAGCACAGCGGCGGTGGAACATCAGGAGCTGCAAATCATCACTACTTCCTTAAGCTCGCGGTCGCGTCTGTGCAAAGGATGTGCTTCACATGCAAAAAGTAAGACGGGCGGTATTCAAAGAGGACGGGCGGTATTTTCCAATTTCTACGGTAGCCCAACGTGTTCCACAAGTCGGTGATGGAACACCTCCGCCTTCTGCAATGCCCCGGCGTTCGTGCCCACGGGCGGCGTCAAGCTCGCCGTAACCATCCCCGCCCTGCGCCGCCGCGCGCGTTCCGCCGGCCCGGGCCTGGCCCGCCGCAAAATGACCGTCCCCAAGACGCCGGCCGTTGCGGCAAAGGGCGCGAAGCCGGTCGTGGCAAAGACAAGCAAGACGGGCAGACCACGGTCGCATCGAGATTCAAAAGTGCAAAGCTGAAGTTTTCGAAATTCAGCGCATGCGATATGAAGGTGGCGGTTGTAAAAGCCACCACGGGCAAGACTGGTAACGTTGGCAAGACTGCTGGCAAGAACACTAGAAAGCGGTCCGAAAGGCTCCATCGCCGGCCGCACGGGGAGGGTGGGGATATGTATCATGATAATTATTTGTTTTTTGCATTCGTTTTTGGCATTTTTTGCATTTTTTCCTACACCTATACTCCACTTCCATGTGCCCACTTCTTGTGTGATACTACCAAAGTAGTCAGACTTTGCGCATTCGAATATAGAATACATTCTGATTTTTTACACTCTTACAGTTGGAATTTAAAGCCCATGTGCCTCGTTTACAATTTGATATCCAAGGTGACTGTCGGAAATGGAAATTAAAATGTCGAGACATGTAGCAGCCTATGTACTAGTATACCAAGTGACTTGACCTCGTCAAGTAATTGCGAATACTCCTTTTTATACAGGCAAAGGGAAATTTGACAGGAGAGGATCGCGTCTTCCTTCAAGTATTTCGCGGGACCAAGAACATATTATTACCTCAACTCACATCGAATTGGGGATATGGTTTAGTGGTATAATTTCTCATTTGCAACGATCTTTCGGTCTTGAAAATTGAGACGGTCGTGGGTTCGATTCCCACTGTCTCCACTTTTTGTTTTTTCTTCTTTTTAGAGGCGGCGAATAAATGTTGACATTGGTGAAATCCAGATATACTTTATGTTTGAGATAATTGGCTTGAAAATCGGCCAGAGACCTGTATGGTGCGACGACCTGTCCACATATTGTCAGAATTTCTTATAACAGCGATATGGAAAATAAATTTTCCTGATACATACTGCTTACGCAGTTGACAGAAGGGTCTCGAAGCACAATGAATTACCCTGAAGTGACGCCTCATCATGATACCATAGTAGTAATTTGCATATAAGACCGCGGTCTTAATCAAAATGCCAGCGTCTAAAGAGTGCCCAAAAACACACCTTTTACTTGCCCTTTACACCAAGATCTACTTACTGTCTCATATGCCAAATAATACGGTCGGTAGTCGAGCAGTTCTAGCCTATCTTCGCGATCGGATAACCCACCTCCGCCAGTTCCGCGAGTATCTCCGAATTCGTGTGGTAATTATTAATACATTGACTCGGATTTGCTTGTTTGCGATCATGAGGTAAATATATAGGTTCGCGATAAGCATGGGGAAAAAATAAATGGGCCACGTACGGCGTTATTGTTATAACGGGGGTTATCTGATCTTTATCATGAACATGGTATACGTATTTCTCGGAATTATTTTCTGGAAATATCAGGGGTATTCAAAGCTTAAAAAATCCGGCGGATTTTTTTGGATTTCAAAATTAGCGCAGTCCGAAAAAAAAAAAAAAGTTCCGAAAAAAATCCGAAAAGTCCGTAATTGGACCTTGGATAAGTGCAGAAAAGCCCTCTACGTACGAGTCTAAGAAAAGCAGATAATCTGCTTCAAAAAGATTCGTTTTATCTGCAAAGATCACCACTCTAATCAAACTCAACACTGCCTGCCCCATTGGGGTGATTTTTATATGAAGATATCTATCTGCTAGCCTCAAAAAAACCAGATATCTGCTCTGCGCAACTCCCAAATATCCGCAAAAAATTCCCCAGGGTATTCAATTCTCACAGAAAAATCCAGACTAGATTAAAACGAACTCAGGAAAACGGATTTTTTTTTTTTGGACTTTGAATATATACCCCTATCGTTGTGCAAATGTGTATACATGATGTAACGATACACCGGCTTGGCCGAATCTTGATAATGTGACCATACATCGTCAACTTGGCAACTTGAAATTTTCAACTTGTGAGCGTACCTTATAAGGTATGCCATGCATTTCAATTGCTTTACGATAAATGGCGATGATGGGCACGAGATCATCATGTATATAATATGCATGTTTATTATTGTGAAAATGCCAGGCTCGGACTATGAATGGAAAAGACAAAGAGGGAAAACAAGAGAGAAAAATAAACAGTTCAAAAAAATGAAATATCCATTCCGTGAAATCCCCAACTTTGCCCGTTAAGACATCCTCCGAAAAGAAAAAAAAACAAAGAAGTTAACCTGGTAATGCAAAACTAGAGGAAAAGAAAAATTTCATAACCAAATAGACCGCTTCATGAGATCATCCATGTATCAAAAAAAATAATCCAAAACCCGGATACCGACTAACTAACTAACTAATTTCCAAAAGTCTGGGGGTTCCAGATGAGGTGGCTGGGATCGTACTCCTCCTTGATCCTCTTCAGCCTGTCGACGGCGCCCTCGGACCCGGCGACGCCGTTCCATGGCTGGTTGCCGTAGTACAATTGCTGTGCCTCGGCGGGGGAGAGGGTGGGGTCGACGTAGTTTGCGTATGCCTTGACTTGTCCCTGGGGGAGGGTGTTTGTGAGGGATGCAACCATTGCGTTGAGGAAGGGGATACCTCCGGCGGGGTATGGGGAGGTGGGGGAGGAGGTGTAGGTGTAGAGTTGGAAGGTGAGGAGACTGTCGCGGTGGGTGTAGGAGTTCTGGGTGAGGGGGACGGTGTTGATATGGCCGGCGTAGATGTCCATGATTACCCACCATGGCTGCAATGATATGTATTAGCAAAAATGAATTTTTCTTTTATTATTACTTGGCTTGATGGTACTTACGACGGGCGCGGATGAGCCTTCGTTGTTGAAGTACTCAAAGAATGGAAGAAGGTTTGCGTAAGTGAGTGGCTGCGATTTGGAGGTGACTATGCTCTTTGCAAACTATTTTTGGAATGAATGGGTTAGCATGCAACACTCCCGGGAGTTGAAAAAAAAAATAGAAGAAGGGAAAAGGTACCAAGTTATCGTGCAAGTCGTATCCGGACAATGGCTGTTGGACGGGCCCAGAGCCGGCAAGATGCTGCAGAGACTCGACCCAGTTGACGGTTTTGACATCGGTCACTGAGCTTCCGGGGAGACTAGCCAAGAGAGGTGCAATGGCAATGTTAAAGTCGGAGACAGTGCCCCAGTACAGTCCAGAGAGGGAAAAGACACCTGGTTCCATGTAGAGGCCGAGGGTAAGCTCGTTTGGTGCAGTCTGGACGAAAGCCTGAATGGCCAAGATTGTGTTTGCCTTTGCCGAGGCGGTGGTGGTGTGGGTGGAGGGGAGGTTGATGGCAAAGGTGACTCCAAGTTCTAGTGCCTCATGGGTTTGGAAGTGGAACGTGGTAACGACACCGAATGAGGAGCCGGCGCCAGCCAAAGCCTATGGTTTCAATTGTCAGATATTGGGGGTAGGAGAAACCTTGGGATAGCGAAAGTAACATACCCAAAAGAGTTCTGCATTCTCGGTGGCGGAGGCAGTGACAATGTCTCCATTGGCAAGGACAACGTCAAGTGCGACAATGGTGTCGACGGTGAGACCCCACATCCTGGAAGCATATCCGTATCCACCGTGGAGAGCATGTCCACCAACACCGACACTGCAATTCTCCGTTAGCCTAGATCCACAGGTTGGGCAAGTATCGATCTTGAACTTACCCTGGGCAAGTTCCGTGGGGAAGAGCTCGGCCTCCCTGCTCATGCAGTGCCAAAGCGAGATTTCCCAATCTCACGCCGGAACCGACAGCAGCAATTCCGGTGGCCTGGTCAACCTGGACGGTGTTGAAGAGAGTCAAGTCAATGACCAATCCGCCGTCGTGTCCGCCGAGCCCGAATGCAGCGTAACTGTGGCCGCCACTTCTGGCAGACACCTTCACACCCGCGGCGGCTGCGCATTTAATCGCAGCAGACACATCTTCGGCAGAGTCGGGGATGACGACGGCAAGGGGTTGCCATGGCAGCCGGAGGTTGTACGGCTTGATCGCGAAGGTGTATGCCGCGTCCTCAATATCGAGGTTGCTGAGCATGGCCTTGTCGAGGCACTCGCTGAGAACCGTTTCCACCGGCGGCTTCGGGGGGCAGGTTCCGGGGATGGGCTTGCATGCCACGAGCGTGGCCAGGTGCAAACTGGCCAGCGCCAAAAGGGCCTTCCATGGTTTCTGCATTGCGGAGAGCGGTATCGATCAAGTTGATCAGGGAAAAACGAATGAACGAACGTCAACGACGGGTCTCTTCCGGAGAAGATAGCGAGGGTCGGGGGGGAGGGAGCTGCACTGCGGAGCGAGTGTGGAGTGAAGTGGTGAGAGAAATTGACGGGAGGCCTGCGCTTTGTTATATACTTCAGGCCGCATTTCCCCCAGGCCTGCGCACTGTGCCCCCGTGATTCTCACCCCCGCAATATTCCAGAAGAGTAAATATCCCCATCTGGGTATAGGTAGCTAGCGCTCATGGCCTAAAGGGCCAAGACCACCGCGCACGCTCTAAAATTAACACCACTCGGAGAGAACAAAGAAACACGCCAGCCAGTCAGTGGCCGTGATCGAGGATACCATCCCTTTCCAGCGGGCCGTGGGGAACCCATCACCCGATACGGCGGCGTTCAAGGCGTGCCCCATGCACGTAGATCACTTTAATTCGGCCGGTGGAGAGAAGGCGGAATAAAGGTCGGCACGTCACGTCGCACATGCCCCATGGCCATCGGGACTTGCCCTCTCCATGAGTACGTACGTGGCGGGCTCTGGCAAGGGGGGTGAGATCAATATATTCAAATTTTGTGTTCAGCCCAGCCTCTTGTTCAAGAATTAAAGAGAGCAGCCAGCCCTGGGCGTCGGCATTGATCAACTGTTCTACCTACTCCCTCTCTCCATCACCATCATCACTGGGTCAAGGCATCATCGATCAGCATCATGTGTGTTGGTCCAACCCTAGGCAGGTACAGTTGCCTAGATTTTTCTTCGCACAGACTCCCACATCCCAGTCGAATGCATTGTTGCAATGACGCTGCGTGAAAGTCGGTATTTTTTCTCCCTCTCGGCTGGCCGTTGCCCATGCAGGGGTCGGGACTGGCATGCCGAATCCATGACTAGGTGGACGGCATAAGCATAAGGTGCAAGGCTCTATAAATATCCCTCCACACACGCTTGACCATCCCATGGTTACACATCTTTGGTACATTTGTACGACACGCTTGCAAATAGAATTTCCCCATGTGGTAACGTGGGCGAAGTCTACTCTAGTCGAGTGAACAACTCGAAATTCACGGCTGGAGAAGTTGAGAATTGCGCCATCTGGAACTAAGTTATTTGTAGAATACGAGTGACGAGAAGGAGGAAAAAAAAATAGCCCCAAAGTAGTCACTGGGTGGTTGAACGGACGAATGAGTCCAGCTGGGAGCAGCGGATCGTGATGCAGGAAAACTGTTGCTCGAGAAAAATACTTACTGTATCGCGATCGAAAAAAATCAATTTCAATCTAGGAAGAGTACACGCATTCTGATTGCAATTGACTTGGTGAGATACTAAATTCAGCCGATGTGATTCAGCCAAGCCACGTAAAATATATTTGCACATGAGTGTCAATCTGGACACTGATTTCTCTCTGCCGACAGCTGTCGGCGGGGCTTCAGGAAGCTTAGGTAGGTACCACAAAAAGCTTCATCTAAAACTTAAATTAGAACTATGCGATGTATTGCTGATTCATTTATCTTTTCCCATGTGGTTGCGCTACGGAGTCCCTCCTTGCGCGCGCAAACTTTTCAAATGAAGATTTAATATAATATC